TGGCCCTTCATAAAGCGGGGGAGGGGGGGCCGGGGCAGGGGCGGGGGGATGCATGAGCCTTGGCTGCCCATAAATTGTTTTCCTGCCGCTTCCAGTGTGACCACAGGGTCCCATTTCCTCCCATGGCTGGAAACGCTCCAGGCGGCTTCCAAGTGCCACGAAGAGGGCAGGTGGCCACGGGACTCCGCATCAGTGTCCCTAAGCTCTGGGAGGACGAGGCCAGACCCCAGCAAGGGGAGAGCATTGTAGCCAAGCCGGTTTCCCAAGCAGTTCCCATGGTCCCCTCCACTGGGATTTGCAAGTGCCCAGACCGGGAGAAAACCCCAGAGACCAGTTTTCCAGCCCCAGATGGACTGGTCCCCCCATGAAGCTTTGGGTGACCCCCACCCCCCCCCAAGGAGATGGTCTGGTGTTTCCACTGCAAGGTGATGCTATGGGGGGGGCTGCCGGGCTCTCGAAGCTGCGGGGAAGGAGGGTCTTCGGCCCCTTCAAGCTGCCCAAACCCCCTTTCCCAGAGCCCACCCCCTTCTCAGCACCCAAACCCCAACACGCGCCGGCCGCAGGACGGTCCCACCTGGGCCACGCAGCTGACATCGGCCTCCATCTTCCGCAGCTCGGCCGCCTGCAGGTCCAGCAGCCGGAGGAAGGCGGTGGCCAGGCTGCTGACCTGGTACGTCACGCTGGCCAGGGACTGCGTGCTCAGCGCCATCGTCTCCTCCAGTGCCTTCCGCTTGTCGCTTGCCTGGAGGGGCAAACCCAGCCGGTGGGATGAGCCCACCCCGTGCGGCCACCGCTGCTCTCCATCTTCACGCCGGAGTCACACGGTAGCCAAGATGCTTCCTTCTGCTTTCCAAATGCATCAAGCTTCCTCCGGCTCCGCCGGCGGGACACACGGGCACCCGTCAGGCAGCAGCACTCGGCTTTTCCAGCACCGGGGATTCACCGTGATTCCTCCCTGCGATACTACCATTTTGGCAGGTACCGGAGCCGAGTGCCCACCTCAGCCTCCTGCCACCCTTGGGGACAGCTGGCCATGCCACCAGCCGGCTACGTGTGGGACAGCCGGCTGTGCCACCAGCCATGGGGGACGGCGTCTCGGTTCTCCAAATAACTCTGCATGTTTCCCCTTCAGCTCCGCTCCAGCGGGTTGGCCACCACCAGCCCCTTGGGACCAGCCTCAGGGTCCGGCACGGGCGAATGAGGCCACCAAGATGGGCTCCGCAAAGCACCCAGGGACCCCCCTGGCCAAGACGCCCTCCCTGGCACACAGGGCCAGGACTCTGTTTTTCTCTTGTTTCATCCCAAAAACTCCTGCCCCCTCCTTCCCTCAGCGGGTCACCGGGGGGGCCAGGCAGAGAGGAGGAGGAGGAGGCACACTGCTGGCTGCAGAGCTTCACGCTTGCTCTGCACATGCGGGCACCCAGCTCGCCTCTGCCCTGCCAGGAGGCACCTCCAAAGCCCCGGGGACAGCCTGGGGACAGCCCAGGCGGGGCTGGTGTCCCCGGTCCCCTCCCAGGGCTTCTCCAGAGGCACCAAACCCCTGGAGGACTCTCCCTTCCTCCCAAACCTCACCCTGAGAGCTGAGCAGAAAAGCTGCTGTGGGGCAAGAGGGGAAACTGAGGCACGAGAAAAAAAAAATAATACGAACAGCGGCATGCAATGCGCGGCAGGAAGCCACCGGTGATGCTCAGGCTCCCGTCTCCAACGGCAGAGCCCTCGCCGTCGCCCACCAGCCACCCCTCTGGGACCACCGTCTCACCGGGGCTCCCGGCTGCCTCCAGCATCACGCCCAGCCCCAACGCCGCAGCTCGTCCTGCGATGTCCCCAGCTGTCCCCGTCCCCCTCACCTGCAAGTAGTTGCTCTCGCAGTAATCGGCGACCCTGAGGAGGTTGCAGTGGTGGTCGCGCAGGACCTGCCGGCCCGCCGGGATGTCACGTTGCTGCAGCTGCTCGAGCTCCGACATGGTGCCGGGCTCGGCTCCCACTTCCTCCCCGGCCGCCACGGCGCCGGGTTTTGAAGCTCGCGGCGGTGCTGACGCAGGGCCTGCGGGCGCCGCGGTGTCCCCGTCCCCCCGAGGGACACCCCGCAGGCGTGGAGCCCGCCCCGGCCACCTTCACATCGTGGCCCTCAGGAGAGCCGGGGGCAGCGAGGAAAGGTGGGGGGCCAGCGGGGAAGAAGGCAGCGTGGCCCCAACCCCATGGGGGATGTGTTGGGGGGCAGCCCCCGGCCGCGGCTGGTGGTCACCCCACTGGGGTAGGGGACGAGAGGGGCCGCCGTGGTGAAGGAGGTGAGTCACGGAGGAACCAGCGGTGCCGGGTGGGGGTGAGCGACCGAAAAAGATCCCGACCCCCATCTCCGCCACCTGTGCCCACTCTCCGTGAGCCGCTGCTGCCCTCCCGGTAGGTGTGGGGCTGAGCCTGGCCTGGTCGCATCCAGGGAGGGGGATTCCCTTCCCTTCACCTTTGTCAGCCAGGCAAGAGACACAGCCAAGGGCAGCGCCTCGACTGCCAGGTCCTCCGCCCTGGAAAAGCCCCGTGCACCCCGCATGGCATCGTCCCGGTCCCCCGGACCTCGCTCAGCTCAGGGCACAGCGGGACGTGACAAGTGACCCCGCGGAGGCGCCCGTCCTTCTCCCCGCTTTGCTAACACCGTTTCACATCCCCACTGGTGAGGCTGTGTCCAGGGCAGGAAATTCCCACTTCCCCGGTGCTTGGAAATCCCCCTCCGCCCTCTCCTCCTCCCGCAGACCAGACGCTTCCTCGGGGCCCTGTCCTCAGCCCCAGCGACTTTGCACTGGCCAGACAGGAGCAAAACCCACGTTAGGGCTTGGCCCTTCCTGAGCCTGCAGCCCCACCAGCACAAGGACAAGGGAAATGATGAATTTCCTCCAGCACCGGCCCGGCTCCTCACACCCTGAAGGACCAAGGGCCGCCCGAGCTGCTCCCGGCCCCCGACGAGGCTGTGCCAGCCCCCCGAGGTCCCCTGGCCCCAGCTCCCCTCCTCTCCATCCCCTCCTGAACTCCGTGACAACAGCTCTGACTCCCCCAGGGACAGTCCCTCTGTCCCAGCCAGGGCAGGACCCAGACACCCACGCCAGGGCCTCAAGGCCTTCCCAGTTGCCCCAGTCACCCACCCCACCCTTCCTCCCCCATCCTCACCCTCCCTACCGATTACCCCGGGCTTTGAGGTTAATGCCCAACACCTGACCAGCTTATTCGCTTGAGTCTATTATCAGCTTAAGGACCAAAGACATCTGCTCCCCGCTGCCCTCCCCGAGAGCTGAAGGAGTCTTCAAGCCTGGATCAGGAGAGCGAGGGTCCAGTCGACGGCGTGTCCTCTCGCATGGATCTCTGAACCTCTCCACCGCTGAGAGGGGCAGGCCCTCGTCCCTGGAGGTAAGTGGCTTCGCTCCCTCCAGCTACAAACGGCATCGTGGGGTCCACAGGGTTTGGAAGCCACCCCCTCCGCGGGTGGGGAGCACGCTGTGCTGTGGCTTTCGGCTCCTTGTGCTCTGCCACGAGCATCTCCCGGGGCCGGCGGTGCACCACGGGCATCGCTGGGGAGAGGAGCACCGGGCACGCACGCCACGAGAGCAGCTGCAGAAAACCAGCGGGGCCCGGGGCCCACAAGCTTGACGCCTTCCAACACAGGGCCAAGGCACTTTTCAGCTTAATCGCATTTACTTTTTTTATTTAAAAGGTTGTGGCCAGGCTTTCAAACCCAAGTTTAAACATGGGAACAGATCTCAGCGGCGCAGGCCAGCTGTGCGGGAATCTCACATAACCCCTGGATGGGCTGTTGCGAAAAAAGAGCTGGGCTTTCCCAACCCACACGGCCCCAAAATGCTGCTGTCGCAGCAAGCAATGCCTCTGCGTGCAAATAGCTGAGCTCACAGCAATGAAAGGGCCTCAATCCATGTTAGCACTTACCTGTGGGGCGGGCACAAGGAGGGGAGAGAAGGAAAAAACTAAAAAAAGAAGAAAAAAAATATTTAGTTCCTTAGAAAACCTGCAAAGATGCTCTCGCCCAGGCACAGGACACAGATCAGGAAGGTCTAGTTTGCAGACCTGGGCATCCAGGTTCTCCTACAAGGCTGCTGCTCTGACAGCCCCGAGGCGGTGGCTTTTCTCCGGGCTCAGCTGGCCCCGCTGAACTGGCCACCTCATGGCTTGGGGAAGCAGCCTCGGTGGTAGCAAAAACCTCGTTAAAAACCAGGCTGGACCCTTCTCCGCTGCCCTCAAACTGCATCCATCGCTCGATGTGCCTGCTGAGAACAAGCAAACAAAAATGCGGTTCCAGCAGGTGTCACAAGAAGGGTTTCGAAAGGTGCCTGAAAGGTGCCTCCCGCCTCGTTTCTTTTCTTTAGCATCAGCCCATGTCTCACCATGGGGGCAGCGGAGACATTAGTAACCTTTGCAACACTGTTAGGGCCCAAGCAATAGTCCTAATGTGCCTTAGGAGAAGCCCATCTATATACTAATAACGCGCCGTTTCCCTGCGGTTCCAGGGCAAAATGGCTCAGGACATGACAGAGAAGGAGCTGCTGAAGATGGAGCTGGATCAGCTGAAGAAGGAGGTGAAGAACGAGAGGCAAATGGTGAGTTTTTCACCCAAAAGGCAAAGGGGCCGTTCCCTGGCGCAGCTCCCTGACCTGATCATGCTGCAAAGGAAAAACAATCACAAGCCCTGAAATTAAACCTCAAATAGAGGCAGAAGCATGTGCATTCACACCTCTCCCCCGGAGGCAAACATTAGCCCCACGTCCCAGAGCCTGGGAGCTGCAGGCCCGCAGGCAGCAAGGTGCCCATAGCACCCCGGGGATGCTCTCGGGGACACCCCACGCTGGGTGGGATGGTCCCGGCCACGGTTCCCCTCTCCCAGCTGCACGGGTGGGTTCGTAGGCAGCCAACGAGCGGGAGCGCAGCTCTGCAGCGAGGGCTCGTTCCCATAACCCACACAGAGCATCTCCTTCCTTTGCAGGTCTCCAAGACCGGCAAAGAGATCAAGGAGTACATCGAGTCCATGGCGGGCGAGGACCCGCTGCTGAAAGGAGTCCCCGAGGACAAGAACCCCTTCAAGGAGAAGGGCGGCTGTACAATAAGCTGACCGCGCCTGCTGTCACCACCAGGCACAGGGATGTTCCCCTGTGCAAGCCAAGACTGTCAGAAACCTGCTTTCCCTGTAGTCTGACACTGGGGAGTCCAGAACCAAAGTGTAGTGCATCTAAAGGATGGCAAAAGCACCAGCCAGCGCAGCGTGTGCTTTTGTGCTCTCACAGCTGATTTACATTTGGTTTCCTGCAAGCAAAACTTCTGCATTTTTAGCAGCCAGCAGCAAACTGGGCTTTAATGAAACTGCAGAGCTGTATCTAGTCTCAGACTTCTCCAAGCAGCCCAACCCCGGAGCCGAGCCCCCGCCTGCTGCAGAAGAGCCTCCCAGCAGGACCTTGCTCAAGTCAGTTCCTCTCAGCGCCTCAGTTTCCCCACCTGGCACAGAAGGCCAATACCCACCCTGCTGCTTCGAGGCTTCCAGGGGTCTGAAGCTTTTTATTCTCTTTATTCCTAGACATCCCCCCAGCCGGTGAGCACCGCTGCCCACCACTCCTACAGCCCACGGCTCACACCCACCACGCACCTTGCACGGAGCGCCAGGGGATGGCCAGGGCAGGGCTGGGTGGGCTTCACCCAACGCAGGGTAGGGCACGGGAAGGAGCGAGGCCCCAGGCAGCTTCTTCAAACCCTCACTCCGCCTCTCGGTCTCACTTTCTCCCCTGGAAACCCCCTGGCAGCTGTGGGAAAGCAAGCCCAGGGCTGCGACCGTGGTGGCTCCAAGCGCTGCCTCCGCTTCACCACCAGCTCACCTCAGCTGCTGCAGGCAAGGAAGGGCAGCTGGGCCCCGTACAGGCAGAGGGGCTGCAAAGCCTCGTCCCACCATGTCCCATCAGCGACGGGGATGATTTGGACCAGGCAGCTTGGGGGGCAGCAGCTCCTTGGAGCGAGACAGGACTCGCCAAGCCCTAAGCCAGCAATGCCAGGCCATGATCCTCCTGCTCCCAAGGACAAATGGGAGGGACAAATTTCATCCCCTGCTTGATAGAAAAAGCACAGCAGCAGTGGCACAGGCCTCTTCCAGGTTCAGTAGGGTGATACTTTGGGGAAGATTTGTGGGGGTTGTTGTTTGGGGGCAGGGGCGGTTTGGGATTTTTTTGTTTGGTTGTTTGTTTTTTTTTTTTTTTTTAAGTCCATTACAGCTACATACTATCAGCGAAGTCCCCAAAACATCCCCAGACGATCAACCCCAAAGAGAAGCAGCAGCTCTCTTTATTTCCCGGAGCCCCTCAGGTCCTCTCTCTGCTGCAGTCTGTCCCTATGCTGCTTCTGCTCCACGGCAGCCCACCTCCAACATCGCAGCAGCCCTCAGGCCCAGGGTGAAACGCTCCCCCGAGGCCCAGCCAGCCTCTGCTCGGAGGTTACACACGTCCCATGGCAGATTTAGACACAGCAAAAACAACGGCTGCAAACTCAGGGCAGGAAAAAAAACTTTTTCCACCCTGTGGGACAGGGCGTTTGGGAGGAGGCGATGGTGCAGCAGGTACCCGCTGCCTGTCGGGACGGGTGTGGGTCTACCACAACGCTGGCGGCTGCTGCTGGGGCTCCAGGAGCGCACGGAGTCGGGCCTGGGAGTCATTTAAATGCTGTGCTTGTAGGAAATTGCTTCTGACCCCACTTGGAGCAGTGTTTTCCTGCCTTCCAGGCCACCGCTTGGTCTCATCGACGGGCTGGCCCTGCTCGGCACCGAGTCCGTGGGGCGGAGGGCGTCCCTCGGTGCTTCGTCCCCAGAGAGCTCCAAGGTGGGGGTTCCCCAGCCGAGGACGGACAGACGGCAGAGGCTTCCCCCCGGGGGGGGCCCCCCCCCCCCCCCCTTCCAGCCGGTACCTCCGCTCCGCGTACCTCCCCAGCCAAACGAGGGCAAAAATAAAGGTGGTTTTTCTTGCAGGCGCTAAATAAACCCGCAGCCTCTGTCTTTCTTGGGGCGGCGAGGGGCAGGGTCGCGGGGCCGGCGGCCTCCGCCTGGGCCTG